GTATTTTGTTTTGCAGTTACCATTGTCTTCCCTCGATGCTTCTTCCAGTGTTTAAATGTTAACGTTGATGAGAATGTGTCCAAGAATGTGGGCCGGATTGATGCAGCGAGAGGCTTCTCATTTAAACGGGGAAAAACGAGAAGGAGTGGGGATTTACCCAGATAGCAAACTGACATTGAATCAACGTGGAAATATGACATCGAAACAACGTTGATCTGACATTGTTTTGCTCATCGAATTAACGTTGAACCAACGTCAGACGCGTCATTCTTTCAAAACTAACGGAAAATCAACTTGAAATCAACGCATTGTTTCAACGTTATGAAAGCAAATCAATTTTCGATTTTCATTTAGCTTTGAAGAATGCCGCGTCTGACGTTGGTTCAACGTTAATTCGATGAGCAAAATCAACGTTGTTTCAATGTCATGAGAGACGTCGTTTCCACGTTGATTCAATGTCAGTTTGCTGTCTGGGTAGGGATGAGGAAGAGCAGAGGTGTTAAGAAAGTTATGGCTACAGGTGTTTCTAAATTAACATAAAAAACTCAACATTAGCCATGATGGTCAGGGCTATATTTAGGCCTAACAAAATTAGCCCTAAAGGCAAAATTTAAAAGCAGTAACACTGCCAACTGTAAGCAGTTTACTGCATTTGAATGTGGCCTTTAAGGCAGTTAACTATTGTATTTAAAAACATATCATTTCTAGGTATGAAATGAATCTTTCAAAAATTGCCCAGGACTGTCAATTATATTTAAGTACTATTATATTTTTACACTATTTAAGCCACGAACATGCCTTGTCAAGTTTCACCGGATTGGCACCGGCCTTCCAACGGCACCTCTGGGTCACAGCTGAAGACATGATCTTCATGCCCGGGTGCCAGAGTTTAAGCTGGTGCAGGTCCTCCTTCATAGTGTTCACCAGCTGGACGCTGCTGACCACCCCCTGGCCATTGCTGCCACAGTGGATGAGGAAGACGTCCGGTGCTGCTGTTCCTTGCAGGGAGTGGGAGAAGAAGGGAAGAAGTCCTTTCCACCATAGCCCACCACAACCAAACCAAAAGACATGGACACCTGCCAGACTGAGGTTGCTTCCCATGGTCTCTGCAGCTCTCTGGGCACCACGTCTGACATAGCTGTCAACAATGATCCATACTGTGTCTATGGAAGGAAAATAAACGAGTTTTTATAAATGCATGAGGTAAGGAAAAATAAGAATTTAATGTTGCTCAGTTTTTTATGTTGGCAATACTGTCACATGTGGGAGAACATAGATGAAGTGAACAACAACTCAAAATGTTGTTGTTGTCCTTTTAAGATAGACATATCAGCTGTCAAATAGACAAGACTACTACTTACAGTTTAAGCTATGTGCAGACGTGGTGCATTCGTCACGGATGGCCATCACCTCAAAATCGATCACTAAAAAAAAAATACACAGCTTGTAATACGCTAACTAATGTAAATGCGTAATAACATTTTTAATGTCAGCTAATATGATCCTAACCCTATCTTAACGTTATATTCAGTTGACATCCAAATACACACTCATAAATGCAGGTTAATTGATTTGCTTCATTTTGGTTCTTTGAGATGCAAGTTTTTAAGTAAAGTTATAACGTTAATTCTTATTCATAATATTAACGTTTTCTGCAAGTCATCTGGTGTTGCAAATAAATGTTACCACATGTATTAAAAGTGCTGCAGCGTTTAAACCTTTGTATAGTTTATTATCGATAACATATAAATAGTTATTTTAAGTTTTGTTGTGAAGGTTCAGGTTAATTTACCTCAATAGTAAGCTTGGCATGAATCGGTTCAAAATAAACCAAGCCAATATCTTCCATCCAAAGATAACTTGATCGTGTGTAGCTAGGTTGGGTTTTCCGGGAGTGACGTGCTGCCAAGATGGCGACGGCTTCAAAAATGCTCTTCAGAAATATACGGATGATGTCACGGACACTACGTCCAGTCTATGGAGAGCAGACGCAGCACCATTGAACTCACGCTGTTTGTGAAATTGCGTCTCGCGGAACGTTTTCAAACTACTGATTTGATTTTATAATTTGTGTGGATTTATTTTCTAATAAAAAATACATGCTAAAGCGAAACAATGTTTGTAGTGATTCACATGTATATAATAATCAAAAGTATGCGCAATACCCTCGCGGAAATTCGAGCCCTGAATTGGCTTCATTCAAAAGCACAACGTTATCGATACGGCAGCTGCTGTATAGATACGCGCATCGCCTGGAGCTCATGACGATATATTGTTGTATCGATATTTTGAGCACAGGAATGATAGTTACATAATGACGTCTATTTCATGTGTTTGTTTACATCTGGAAGACATATTTTTTAGAGGGTTTGCTCATCTGCAATACGTCTATAAGACGTTTCCTGTCAGATGTCAAATTGATGTTTAGAAGATGTAATAAGATGTAATATATAATTTAAGATGTAATGAATTATGTTAATTAGTGTATGTTAAACTGACATCGTAAACATGTCTATCATATGTTAGTAAACAGCAGATGCTTTCCAGATGAAGTGATCTTTAACAGACATCTTGCAGACATTCGTGTGCCATCTGAAATATATACATATATATGTATATATCCCTCTGATGGTCCTCGGTCACTTCTGACCGAATCATTTTCTGTTTTGAATTTTAAAATATCACAGCTTCATCGGAGGGTTATGATACTTGGTGACTTTTCTACCATTTGGTATGTGAATAGAAAAAAAAATTGAGGTCATGATCCGAGCATGCTAAGTGGTTGTAAAAAATAAATAGTCACACTCGTGGTCTTCGGTCAAAAATGACATACCCATAGGAAATGAATGGGAAATTTACAAAAACACAAAAATTCTCAGAATTTTTTCTCAGAATTTTTGTCTTTACAATCTACAAATCAGCCACGATTCTAAGTAAGGGTTAATGCCCGACGAGGTGTCCATTGTCAGGTTTTAATGGACGACGGCGAGGCGTGAACCGGCCGACGCGCAGCGGAGGACGGTTGCCTCCGCCGAAGTTGCCTCTTCCGATGAAGCTGTGATTTATACCATGGTCACTTGCCAAATAAAACATTTTAAAAACATTAGTTTATATTTTAATTAGGCTAAATCTAATTTTTACAAATAATAACTTGCCTGACGGTTTATTAAGCAACCGGAGATATTTATAGTCCGCTCAGCTTGTAGAACCCTTCAGTTTCAAAAATCCATTTTTTTTTTCATGAAACACAAAGGTAGGCATAGATATTTTTTATTACACATAAAACAATTAATCAAACAAAAAATAAAAAAAACACAACAAAAAAAAACTATTAGTTCTGAGCACCAGCGATTTGCGCTTATAGAGGGCAATAAATTAATCAGATCAAAGAGAGGGTCATTTGACTACATGCTAGCTTTTTTTATTTACAATTAATTTCAACGTTTCCATTCATAGTGCAATTTGAAAAAGTCGGTCAGTCAGGAGGATCCACAAAAGCTGGGTAACGTTACTGCTGCCCATGATGGGCACTTGATGCACACATGTAACGTTACGTTGCTCCAGCTTCGTCTCTCACGGACAGACGGAGCCCAGTAAGCCCGCAGACTGCTCTCGCATCGATGGCCTGTCACCGACATTATTTGACGGCTCTCCAGTCCAGCATCGGAGAGTCGACCTACAGCATACCAGTCGTCAAAGTTGCCATATTCTCCATAAATGTTAAAAGAAATAACGAAGTCACTCATTATTGTATTAGGCTATACAGTAGTATCTAACGTTAGATGTTTGTTTTGATAGAGCGTTTGACTGCCTGTTGCTATGGTCACTCACAGCTGTTGTAGGCAGCGCATTTATTTATAAATTTCGAATGGTAAACAGGCAGTTTCACCAGAACTACTTTACTAGGTGTCCTCTATCACTTTTTAACGGACACCCTGCAGCCAATCAGAATCGAGTATTCACCCAGACCATGGTATAAAAGAAAGTACACCACAGTAAAGGGGTGACACTCTACAATATCAAGAGTGCAAAAAATTCACACGCACCAACACACACACATACAAACACACTTTTATACACATACACACCAATAAATTCAGATTACAAAAAATATGTTTTGAATTTTTAAAAATCACAGCTTCATCGGAATGTTACGAAACTTTGTGACTTTTATGGGATTATGTATGTGAACACACAAAAAAATTGAGTTCATGATCTGAGGATGCTAAGTGGTCGTAAAAAAATTAGTCACAATTTTGGTTTTCGGTCAAAAATGACCCCCATGGGAAATTTACAAAAACACACAAATTCACCACATTTTTTTTTTTTTACTAAAATACCTCATTAATAATTTTGCAAATACTGCAAAACTAAAACTAAAATACTGCATTAATATATATATATATATATATATTTTCCATGACAAAAAATAGACAATAAATATTGCATACATAAATTGTACATAAATTGTACAATAAATTCAATCAAATTGTCTCAAAATACTAAATTAAAAAGAATAAATATTATAGAACAAAAATAAATTGCGTTGTTTTTACTGGGATGGCGGAAGTATATATATATATATATATAATGATATTATATCATTATACTATCATATAATGATGGTTGTCTCGCTTTGGTTTAAGAGGACTGTACCCCAGATTTCGTGATTTTAAGAAATTTAAATTGACTTTTATGTTGCCTCTTTAACGCGATGTGACGTCATTACGTCGTTTCCGGGACTACACCACCGACAGAGGGTAAAGTTGTTTTCAGCCAGTCAGGATTTAAGGTCTGTAGTACAACTTTCAGCAAGAATTAAATTATATTTTATTTACACAAAATTAATATAAAACGTAATATGACAATTCTTGCTTGCTTTTGTTTGCTAATAGCTGGTCTCTCGTAAACGTTATGCCAAAATGTGATTTTATTGTGTTGCGTTAACGTTTTCTGTGCAAAACGCATCCACGCATGAGGGACATTGTGATTTAAATTAATTTATTTTTCTTTCTACTGTAAATTCTTATTAAACTCCTCCGTGAACTCCAGGTAACACAACTGAGATTTACGTGGCAAAGATGGAGTTTATTAAAGAGGAGATGGACATCGGTGACTCAGAACCATGTAGAGTGAAACAAGAGGAGACTGAGGAACTATTAGGTGGGTGTCCATTGATTTGCCAGTAACTGTTAGTCAGGAACAGTACATTACATGTGTGCATTTGAGAGAGATTTGTATCTAAAGCGACTTTTTTACATTCAAGCAACAGGAAAAAAAACTAAGCTTTTATCTTTTCATCGCATTTGGCGACTTGATAAGTGGTTCTTAAACTGTGCTAAACGTTTTTTGTTTTTGTTTTTCTGAAAAAGTTACCACCTTACGTAACGCTGAGTGCTTTCGTGTCCTCCGCATTAAAGTTCATCTAAAACATTTCGTTTAATCTAATTACAATTTTCTTAGCTGATAACGGTATCCATATAGACTTGTTTTTACAGATTATTGTATTTGAATTAAGTGTTGTGCAATGCATAAAGGCAGTATATTGACGTTTTTTTTTTCTGGGTCAAAATTGTCATTTATTTAGTGGTGTAGGACGAACACGGCCATCCATGCACACAATAAATTCCCCCTCTAAAAATAAGTGAAGATAACGTTTGTAATAAGTTATATATAAATCTTTGTCAGGACAGATCATAAAACAAAGGGAACTAAATCACTAAAAAACAAATGCATATGGCTCGTCCAATGTAATTGTATGTCCATGTCAAATAAAGATATAAGAAATAAGAATTAGTTTACACTTACACTCAAAATCTTAATGCACTGATTTGACATACAGTATCAGATTGTTCTTTCTGTTTGAAATGGTTATCACTAGGTCTGGGCGTTATGACGATATTGTTACTATGGTGTAAACTGTCTGTCGTTAGTAAGGGTTCTTCGATCAGGATTTTTGGAGCCGATCACAGGAAGCAGTGTCTGCTGAAATGATCATCAATACGGATCTGCTTGAAGCATTAAAGTTCATCTAAAACATTTCGTTTATAAAATCTAATTACAATTTTCTAATTACAGAAATCACTGAAGCGGTCAATTACAACACGAGGTACACAAAGCTACACTCTTGTGAAAACTCCTATTATAATCAATGAAATTGTGCAATTAGGGTGGGCGATATGACCATTTGTTTTTATGATACCAAAATTTGAAACCATTAAAATTTCATAATTCTTATCACCATTTAATATATATAATTAAAAAAACTTATAATAGCCTAAAAAACCTCTCAAGCTTACTGATGACAAGTAAACTGTGATAAAGAAAGAGCAAAGAAAACAAACTACAATATGACAGACCTGCCTAAAAAAAACTGTATAACATGTATGCTGTAAAGTAATCAAATGTATAAAAAACAATGCATAGTCTTGACTGTTTTCAAATGAAATATACATTTATTCCTATAAAAGTTACAAAAGTGATTCAGTCAACAGCAGTGAGAGATTTTTACTTTATTGTTGTTTGATTAATATTAATAAAGACAGCAGGTAACTTTTGGATGCCGTCACACAAAGACTCCACACTGTACAGATCCAATATACTTGTGCGTTTTCTCTCAACTGTTTATGTTCACTTTAGACATAAATGGCTCCATTTACTTGCAAATACATGGTCACTTTGACACATGTGGAATGAATCTCTTTTTGACATTGTGTTTAGTGATGCACCGATGTGAAAATTTGTGGCCGATATCGATAACCGATATTAACATTGCTGTTATGGCCGATACCGATATTTACCGATGTCGATATCCCTGTATAGAAAACACATAGCGAGGATTAGGGCTGCACGATATTGGTAAAAAATGACATTGTGAAATTTCATTTTTCTGCAATATATATTGTGATATAAAAACAATTTCACCAGATTACTTGAATTGCTCTATTTGGAAAGAATGAATCATTCAATGACTGGGGTAGTTTTGTCATGGAGTAAATCTGCATAGAAACTAATATTAATAGAATGTTAACAAAATTTGTTAACATTCCATTAATCTATTAACCTTACACTTTACAATAAGGTTCCATTTATTAAAGTGTACATTAAGTGTTTCCGATTTATGTCTCTTGAGCTCAGTGTTGGACAGATCAGTTGTTTTAACCATTCATTAAAGTGAATCGGTTCAAAGGAGTCATTAGTTCGCGAATCGGATGCGTCATTAACGGAACCACGGCACACGTTGTGATTATCCAGGCAGTTTAGAACATCGCACGAGATTTGTCTCGACCTATTTTTACAGTCTATGGTCTCGACAGTCGACACAGAAAACATTTCATCAACAGATAGATTTTTTTTGGTTTATTGAAAGTGTGGTTTCACAATTCACAACCAGTAGTTCAGAAGAAAAAAACTTCGGTCTTCCGACCTTTTACCGTCGTGTATTCTCAAAGATATTCAGTCAACTCAATGCGGGAGGGAGGGAGGGAGGGAGAGAGAGAGAGCATGAGCAAGACATTTTGAAGACGGCGCGCATGACCGGTGCTTTCACTCTCTCTTGTTCCCTCAGTTAAACAAGCGCAGCAGTCACTCATCTACATCACTTACCGGTCAAATATGGCTTTGGCGGGACAAAAATACGCATTAGGAAGGCTGGCAGAAAACAGCTCACCAGTTCCAGTCTTCGTGGCTTGATGTTTAAACGCACTTGCGCTTTTAATGCGCGTGCAAAAACAAACATCCCCGCCCCCACACTCACACCTACACGCACGTCAAATACACAGGGATGATCATCGGCCTGTTCACATCGGCCCTATTTTGACATCGGAACGATACCGATGTGTAAAAAATTTACCAAATCGGCCGATATTATATCGGCGGCTGATATATCGTGCACCACTAATTGTGTTTATACTTTGTTGGTAATAATGAAAGTTCAGTGGATTCTGGTTAACATAAACGCATCTGATTGGATATTGTTCACGCACTCAACAGATATGCCTGTGATTGGTCACTAGGGTTGGGAATCGTGAGAAATTTTCCGGTTCCGATTCCGGTTCCGCCAAACGATTCCGGTTCCGGTTCCCATTCAATTAAAAATATTAGTAAGAGAAAAATCCACAATCCTTTTTGTGTTTATTTCTTATAGTACATGACAAATTAGTTTAACAGACTGGTAATGTAAACAAACTCAAAATATTATTAAGCAATCTTTGCAAAAAAATTAAAAAATTCTGCATTCTCTATAATAATTTAGACCTCTCCTTTATTGTATCTCCAACAGTGAAGAATACCCTCTCAGAAGGAATAGTATATGCTTTAACACACATATGTGTGTAGAACAGATTATTTTTTTAAACGGTTTGAATGATTGATTCATAAAGACTTTACTTATTTCATTACTGGATAAATCGGCGCTCTAGCAGTTAATAAACAGAACTGCATGCGTCTTGCGGAAGAACATTGTTGCCGGAGCTACTTCTCTCTGTTTATGTCCATGATGAGTCACGCAGGCATTGGGCTACTCCGCAGCAGCTGCGATCCGCCGGCCAGTCTAAAGACGTCCGATTATTAACGCTTATTACAGGCTTTACGTAGTGATTCAAGATAAGACAAAAACACGGTTTGAAAAAAAAACATTATGATGCACTCGCTCATTGTATATATTTTGTAAATTCTGAACACAAAAAATATACGGACTGCATCTGTTTTGACCACTACCGTCAATGTTTACTCAAACTATAATCTCACTAATTCTGTAACGGAAATCATTTGAATATGTGAAACAAATAAATATTGAGACTGTGTGATTGTAAAGCAGTTTCATATCGACAACTGCTCTCTCCCTCTCTCAGCGCAAACAGATTTGAATGTAGGCTAGAGCAGTGTTTCCCAACCCTGTTCCTGGCGGCACACCAACACTGCGTGTATTCAATTCAATTCAATTCAAAGGGGCTTTATTGGCATGAAAGTTTTTCAAACAATGTTGCCAAAGCATATACAACAAATACTCTATACACATATATATACATATACATACACACACACATATATATATATATATACACATACATGCACATATACATACATAAACACTTAACACAATATTTGGATATATCTGTGTGTGTGTGTGTGTGTGTGTGTGTGTGTGTGTGTGTGTGTGTGTGTGTGTGTGTGTGTGTGTGTGTCGATCACTCATTCACTGCCCCTCAGGTTGTGGCATGTTTGAATATTATAATAATATTATAATATAGTATTCTTTGTCTCCCTTATCAAACACACCTGATTCAACCCATCAGCTTATAATCAGGTGGGTTAATGAGCTGATGGGTTGAATCGGGTGTGTTTGATTAGGGAGACAAAGAAAACACGCAGTGTTGGTGTGCCGCCAGGAACAGGGTTGGGAAACACTGGGCTAGAGAGTGACTCTGCGGTCGGCGCGCGCAGCGTGCGTGTGTCTGTGTGTGACAAATGCAGCGCGTGTGAGAGCAAATCGCAACTTCAGTGGTGAAGTTTTTGTCATTTAGGAATAAGACGGCGTCTTCTACTCTCCCAGCACTTCGCCCACATGATGATATCTCATCGGCATCAGAACCGTTTTCGGAACCGAAACTTAGGAATTTTGCACGGTTCTGGTATTTTTTCAAAAACACAACCGGTTCTGGAAAAGAACCGGTTCTCGGTTCCCAACCCTATTGGTCACAAAGATCAACACTGCATGTAAATAGGAAACTTTGATGTACTTCACATAGCACTTATGCAAACACTCATGGTTTTAAAGCGGAGGTCTGTGAGGCATGCTTGAGAATGACACTGCGATATGAATCCAATAATTAGCAAATCTAACTAATTTAATCTTCATATTTTTAACTTTCCATACCTGCCAACATGTACGCATTTTGCGTAGTGGGCACGCATTTTGACCTCAAAGTGCGCTGGTACGATTTGTCTCTCTAAACTACGCAAAAACCTGGTGACGCCTATGTGCACGCGCAGTCCTCAAATAAAGCAACAGCAAGAGAAGAGTTCGACCAATCATAGCGCTGGGTTAATTCCCCAAATTGCAAGCGGAGATGATTGACAGATGTGTAAGTCCTATAATTAAAAAGAGACTGAAAATCGACACCAATAAAGAATCCCGCTCGATCCCGCTTCCACTCGCACGC